GGGCCCACTTCCCCTCCGTGCTCCCTCACGCCATGGACGCTGCCGACACCCTCAGGAGGCAGGTGCGGGTGTGGGGCGACGGATGGTAAGTGTGGAGGCCCCCCTCGCCCGCTCTCTACCTCGGACACAAGGACATTTGTGTGTGATATGTGGCTCCCCGGCGTGTGCGTGTGTGTGTGTGTGAGGTGGTGGTAACGTGAGGCAGGTCTAGCCAGGATATGGGTCAGTGCTACCACTGGTGTTACCACTGGTACTACAACTGGTACTACCACTAGTACTACCACTGGTATTGTCACAACCACTGCATGGGGGTTGTCCTGCCCACACCCTTTATTACTGCCGCAGCAGGTGTAGTAAGTGCCTCAGCAGGTGTACTACCTGCCGTGGCAGGTGCCACAGGTGTTGTCAGGATAACAAGTGCCGATATAACCATAAGTGTGGCAATTCGTGTCACTAATGACCACACACTGCAGACGACATGCCCTCGTCCCGCCGCGCGTGCCGGCCACGGCTTCCGCCTCCCCCAGGCGCGCACACATGGCCACCTGGGTACAATTCCTTATAAACGGAATGCCGGTGTCATGCCAACTTTTGTTCTGGTTCACCATTAACTGTGATATAAATGGTGGGCAGAAGGAGCATGCGAGTGATGGGTAGGGAGGCGAGTGTTAGGGACAGAGGCGTGGCTACTAGAGATCAATGGGGTCCCTGCAGATCTCTGCTGATCTCTGCTGCACGACATGCACCAGAGATCTCTGCTGATCTCTGCTGCACAACATGCACCAGTCTCCTCTGCTTAGCATAGCCACCCTACAGGCACGCACCTGGCCACCACTGTCATTACACTGCTAGGGAGAGAATCATTTACCATCTCGCTGTGAGCAATCTTAACTAAAATCAACACACAATTGTTAAAAATATATTCTGCCTTACAAATCTGCTGCTCGCATTTTTTTTAAATGATTAGCTATTTAGACAAAGGAGTGGATGTAGTATGCATGGACTTCACTAAAGCTTTTGATAAGGTACCACCTGAAAGACTAGCATGCATGCATATGGGGTAAATGGTACAATACTAGAATGGATGAAATGATGGTTAAAACCAGGGCAGCAAAGGGTCATCCCAAACAGAAATGAATTTGAAAGGAGAAATCTGGTGAGTGCGAAACTGCAAGGGTTCCATTCTGTGGCCCTTGATGACATGAGAATATTAAAAACCACATAATCAAATTTGCACATGATGCTAAGATTTAGGGTAAAGTAGGAAGTGAGTGAAAATGTGGCCTTGCAAAGATCTACACGACTACAAATGTACAACTCTTGAATGTACAAGAATGTAACAACTCTTGTATATATCTCAAAAAAAAATAGTCAGGAGCCTGGCAAATTCTTTTTAATATTGAAAAATTAAAGAGCTTGCATGTGGGGCATAACAATGCATGTCACAACTACCAAATCAGTAACATTATCTTGCAACAGAGTGATGATGAAAATGACCTTGGAGTCTGAATTCACCAATCACTGAAAGTTGTGCAACAAGTGGGAATGGAAGTAAAAAAAAAAAAAGACTATCTAGGAATAGTCAGACAAACCTTTGATTTCAAGGAAAAGAAGGTAGTTATTCAGTTGTATAAACCTTTGGTGTGCTCCCACTTGGATTATTGTAGCCAAACATTGAAGACCTGATCTTCAGAAAGACGCATCTTCTTTAGAGAAAGTTCATAACCAGGCAACAAAAATAATTCCAGAAGTAAGTAGGCTCTCGTACCAGGAATGGTTGAAGGCCACAGGGCTAATGCCACAAACCAGACATGACAATGCTGATCTTGTCAGAACTTTTAATTATACAGTACTGAACAATTTGGAGGATATTATTCCAAACAGTTTCTTTACAAGGTCAAATGTGACACAGACCTGGAGCAATGGTTTTATTTTAATTTACTCTAGTGCCACTGACACATTAGTGGCCTCGATGAGGACAGGAAGCCAGCAGCATGTCAAAGGTCCCCCCCCCCTTATTTGCTCCTAATCTTTTCCAGTTGGATTTTTTAAATTCAGTAGAGTTTTGGCACTTACAGCTTTGTCAGGTAGGCAGTTTCAAGCTCAAGCCACAATGTAGGACAAAACAGGAGGTGCTTTATCACCCATAGTTATAAACCCATTGAACTGCATACCCACCACAGCCATAAATGCCAAAACTCAATTTCAAAATCCAACTTAATAATATCAAGACAAATGGGGGCGGGGGGACCTTTGACAAACCAACTTTCTGTTCTTGTCGAGGCCATTCGAGATATGAAGGCCCTCAGGTAATTTCAGGCAAATATGCGAGTTGACCTATATATGACTCATAAATGGATCATAAAAAATGGGTTATAAATGGGTCATAAAAACTCATAAAAATCGGGCAGAAAATCCTGCGACAGTTCCCAAGATCAAGAAAGCTGTGAGAGTACTAACCAATCGGGGAAGAGTTGTCAAATTTCTGTGAAGCCCCTCCCGTGTTGAAATCTGTGGAAATGAACGAGCAGATGTGCTGGCTGCTGAAGGAGACCATATTGAATACTTACGTATTTATTTATTAATTTATTTACTGTATTTATATTTATTTGATGATTTTACATTCTTGTAAAATCATCATACTTCATACCCCAAGACTCTTCTACAAATTAAGAGGTATCATCAGGCAATATCACCGTGACAAGGTTACTGAGGAAAGGAGGATAGAACAACAAATCGGTGAATCTGTACGCTGGTACCATGTGGTTACAGCTTGCAATCCCAATCATTATGGACGAAGAGGAGGTGGCCGCAAGAGAGAATCTGTAATAGCAAGAATCTGTCTTGGATACAAATATCCACAGAGATTCAAAATAGCAACAACAGTTGAGAGGAGTTGCAGAATCTGTGGTGAGAGTGATTGACACTGCCTAGACCATTACCAGAGTGTGTGAACATCTAATAGTCATTAGGAATACTGTATGTGCAGAATAATAAACCCCACATTGTTTGAGTTAGAAAAATACTATTTGTCAAATACTGTGTAGATACTGTTCTGAAAGGTTCCCCCATTTTGCACCCCACAAGATAAAGTAAGTAATTAAGGGTTGATGAATGTTATTCTTGTTTGATAAGCTGTTTTCACTTGACAGTTTATTTATTTTATATATATATTACATAAATACACACTATATATAATAATAAGAATGTACAGTGGCTCTATGAGAGTACATAACATTGATGTTTTATATTCTTATTCTTGTAAAGCCACTAGCATGCATAGCATTTCGGGCAAAAACGCTATGAAGTAAAGTCCCAGCTGTATCTGGGTACAAGTGACTAAGATGAACAACCCAGCAGGTTTTCTTCCTATTGGGGAGTGTTGTACATGCTGCTATGGCAGTATGTTCACTCACAGGATAAGAGGTGCTGCCCAATAAACTCGCCCCTCAGGACAAAATAAACAAAAATTTAAACATTTTATGACTCATATTGTAAAGGACTGTGTTATCAGGGCTTTGGTGTCTAGTTTGTTTTTATCTAATAATGCACCCAGAGAACATAATCATTGGGTATCCATTTACTCGATACCAAGAGACCTCTTATCTGTTAAGGCTTTGCGAGATGATCGACTGTCTACAGACTTTTGTGGTGGTTGCATTTCTCCTGGACTGGGGTCACTGACCTTGTCTTTGCTGCTTCCCTGTATTCCTCATACAGTACTGTACTTGTTTTCATGTTGGCAAGGCTGAAGATGTTTCCTGGCCAGGTTCTTCTGGTTACCATGTGGCTGGTTCAGGCCTAGATTTTGTGCCCTTCTAGCTCATTATTCCAGTCCTCAAATTTCTTCCAGAGTTTCTGACTCTTCCAGTAGACAGTGGCTTTGACCTATGTAGTAGTTTGAGACTACCAATCTTAATGTTTGGAGTTTCTAACCCTTGGAAGAATAGTGGCAGGCCTATTGGTATCACATTTGCAGGTTTCTTTGCAGTGAGAGATTGCTAGAGTTTAACAGATGGCATGACAGTGCTAACTGCACTTTGCTACGTTAGTGTTAACACTCCCAGCCTGTACTATGTAATGGTAAATGAAAATATTATGCTAGTTTTCATGCATATTATTATTTATCTGTACTTAAAATAATTTGTTATTTGTGTACAATATATAAATATATGCAAAGCATGTTTTGTCAAATTTTCTATAAGAAAACTTACAAATTAATTAGTTAATTATGCCAAAATGGCAATGTTCTGAAAACAGGATTTCACAAGAATCCAGATCAAGTATGGGACAGATTGATCTAGATTTCACTTGAATTTACCTGAGGGGTCACTAAAACATTAATGGCCTTGACAAGGACAGGAAGCCAGCAGCTTGTGAAAGGTTCCCTCATTTGCCCCGATGAATTTTTCCAACTGGCTTTTAAAATTTAACAGTTTAGGTATTAACGGCTTCGGAAGGTAGGCAATTCCATGGGTTTATAACCTTGTGGGTGAAAAATCTGTTTTAAATCCTACCTTGTGGAGCTTGAAACTGTTCCTCCTTATTTGTGGTTCATCTGACCTTTTGAATAAATTGTCAGGATTAACATCTTCAAAATTGTTCAGTATTTTAAAAGATTTGATGAGATCTGCCTGTCATGACTGGTTTGCAGTGTTAGCCGTGTTGCCCTCATCCATTCCTGGTATGGGAGTCTACTTAGTTCTGGAATGATTTTTGTTGCCTGGTGTTATACTGTACTTTCTTCAAAAGAGCCATGTCCTGTTGAAGATAAGGTTTCCTGCTTAGATATAATAATCCAAGTGTGGGCACACCAGAGATTTATACAGTTGAATCGCTACCTTCTTTTCCTTAAAGTCAAAGATAGGCTTGATTATTCCTAGGGTTTTTTATTTTATTTTAGGTGCACTGTAAATGTACACTATCATTATGCAAAGAAAATGTATATATAAGGTCTTGTATTTTTGTATTAGCATATATCATTATGCCTTCTAATATGTGATATGCTTTCTGTTCAGCTATGATATGGTTCACTTTGGGCATGCCAATGCACTCCGTCAGGCTAAGGCTATGGGAGACTACTTGATAGTGGGTGTGCACACAGATGAGGAGATCACCAGACACAAAGGGCCACCTGTCTTCACCCAGAAGGAAAGGTATGTAAAAGTGCCAATATCCTTTCCTTATATGCTAAATGGTGTTTACTTCAGCACACTTCTATTAAAGAACCATCATTAGTTTAATTCCAGTACAGTAAAATGCTTAGTGTTAGAAATTGAAGAAATTAGATTAACTACCCTATAGGCAAGTACTGTACCTCTTACTAACAGATGTAAGGAAATTATGGCAATTTGACAGTTTTCAATGTCACTATTATTGTGTATATATTTAGTTAACACACCATGCTACAGTATTTTATAATTAAAAAAAGATGCGACTTGATAATACTAGGGCAAAACTTAGTTAAAGGATCTACCTGTAAACATGAGGGCAGAAGGATGAATAATGCCCCAAAACACCTTAGTCACATGCAGTGGAACCTCGGCTTATGAATGCCCCTATTTGCGATTTTTTTGGGTTACTAGATCAATTTCTTCATAAAATTCTATTTGGTTTGAACTTTGCCTCAATTTGCAAGTTTGTTGATACTGTACATGTATGGGTCGACCGAACGCGTAGTTCCTGGTGGAACGGGCGACTGCGCCTCAGTTTAACAGTGTCTCCCACGTAGTAATGATCGCGCTTGAATTCTTTGTAAAGAATTTCATTGTTTTAAAGCTTTTTTGTTCCTAAACATAAAAGTAATTATAATATACCATGCCATGGATTCCAAGAAAGTCAGTGGTTAGGTTCAACCTAAGAAAACACGTGAGGATGACCATAGAGGAAAAACAGGTCTCTATGAAAAGGTTTGTAAGACAAACAGTGAGCCACACCCAGGTCCTAGTGGTACACAGGCAAAACATAGGAGAGAGAGTACCAAAGAGAGGTCATCATTGTCTGATGTTATAATGGAAGGGGACTCCCCTTCCAAACACTAACACCACCTCCCTCCTCACCGTCTTCAATATGTCAACAAGTCGTAAATAAATAATAATAAATAAATTTTTATTGAGGTAAGGTACATACATACAAGGTAAGATACAAAAGTTGATGGATTTATAGATAGAGCTAGTACATACAATGCCTAAAGCCACTATTACGCAAAGCGTTTCGGGCAGATAGAGTATCATTTAGGCAGATAGAGTAGAGTATTTCGGGCATCAATAGAGGTAAGCTATAACTTGTACATATTATAGTACAAAATATTTGTATGTGTTATGTATAAAATGTATTTTTAAGATAATATTTTTGGGAGTGTGGAACGGATTAATTCAATTTACATTATTTCTTGTGGGAAAATTTGTTTCGGGTTACGAACCATCTCTGGGAACGGATTAAATTTGTAAACGAAGGTATCACTGTAGTACAATTTGTTTGGCTGAGCCGACCATTGTTCACAGTTAGAAAACTTCACACCTTGGCTGAATTTGTCCTAGCACACTATGGTCAGCTGTGGTGCACTCTAATCTGAACTTTGGTAATGAATTACACACAGAGATCACACTAACGTGATGCATCAAATGAACAAATCTACAAGGGCTGTGACGAGGATTCGAACCTGCGTCCGTGAGCATCCCAGACATTGCCTTAGTCGACTGAGCTATGACAGGGTTAAGAGTTGAAACCGAAGTTCAGTAGAACTTCGGTTTCAACTCTTTTTACCCTGTCGTAGCTCAGTCGATTAAGGCAGTGTCTGGGATGCTCCCGGACGCAGGTTCGAATCCTTCTCACGGCCCTTGTGGATTTGTTCATTTCGTAATGAAGTATGGAGACCTTGCCTTCAAGAGGTCATGAGGTTCAGAGCAGACAAAAATTATCCCAGAACAAAATCAACTTTTATGATGGGGAAAGGTTGAAGGCCTAATGACTACCACCTCCATAAACCAGATAAGACTGATCTCGTATACATTTAAAACATTGAACAAATTAAGAAACATTAATCCTGACCACCTCTTTTAAAGGTTCAATGTAACTCATACCAGGGGCTAAATTAAGCACCACAAGCCACAATGTATTATAGATACTGTGGTCTCCATGCTTGAACATGGTAAGGAATTTATGCTACTTAATGCAGCATAATTCGACTAATCATCCCAATTAATGAAATTGTTTTACTGTTATTGTCAATATTAAATAGTGTAAATGTGCTATATTAATATTTACCTCTAAAGCTACAGAATCTGAAACAAAGTACAGTACCTGTACTGCAGTTTACATTCATTAGCATTAGATATCACTAGAAAATATTTATAATTTAATTTCTTAATTTTTGTATTTATGCTCGTTAACTTTTATCTCGGAATATTACTACCTTAAAATATAATAATCCAAACATTAATAAGAATCTGTCGGATCCATGAGGAGAGCTTGAACCTATGCACTGGGTGTTCCCAGGCACCCGCATCACGGCTCTTGTGGATTTTCTCATTGATGCATCATGGTGTGATTACTTTCTATGTACAAACATTAATCTTACATGTTAGCATGTTAGTCATAATTTGATTTGTAGCTTTATTGAAAGTGCATATACCGAATATGTAATCAGTGTAATTATATCCCCTAATCTGTTAAATTATTAATATCTATCTTGGTAATCTTTGTACTTTTATTACTAGTTAGGTTTTCTTTGGGTTTTAACTTGCCGTGTTATGTTCAATGAGGTTCAGCATTGTGCCAACTTTTTTTGTAGATGCACTATTCTCAAGTTTTATTTATTGATATACAGTATTTCTTTATTGACAACCATTTGCCAATCTTTTTGACTGTTAGTAAAGTTATCATTGATCATTTGTATTGAAACTCATCTTTGCTTTTTGTCTTTCCGTGAAAATAAGTTTTGTTGAGCATATTGAAAGTGTTTACCAAAACTTGTTTTAAAATTAAATGTAGAAATTACTCAATCATACATTGTTACTTGTGAGCCATAAAATTATTTTGCAGGGGTTTTGATTATTGTACTGACTAATTGATTGATTTATTTGCACCCGCAGATATAAAATGGTACGAGCAATCAAATGGGTGGATGAGGTGATTGAAGGAGCCCCTTATGTTACCACCATAGAAACCTTGGACAAGTATAATTGTGATTTCTGTGTACATGGAGGTAAGAATTTCAAATGAAGTCCATATGGTCATCTCTTCACGGTGCACATGACTGAAAAAATAGTTAACAAATCAAATGGAGGAGAAATTGCATATAGTGATTGAAAGGGTTAATGGTAATGGGTGGAGGTGCACACTTTGCTTGCCCCTGTCCTGTCTCTCATTATTTCCGTGCATGTCCTTGCTCATAATCGAGGATCCCGAGTTCAATTTCCCAGGGAGACAGAAGTGATTGGGCGTGTTTTTTTTCACGTGATGCCTCTCTTCACCAACGTGAACCCTCATCACGGCCCTTATAGATTTGTTCAGTCTAGATAGGCCTGGTATGCTTGGTTGCAAAGATTGTGGATTTTTAGCATGGATAGGCTGTTACTTTTCTGTTGCAAAGAGGAATTGCTGGTGATGTGTAGGTTCAGGCATGTTTCATTTGAATGGCCGCAATTATAGCTGGATATTTAGAGCACAGTTTTCTAACACTTGTCTATTTGACAAGTACATTTTTATAGTCCAACATTGACTTTTTTCACTTATTTATACAGTACCTGTATATACAAGTTATTCTTGTAAAGCCACTAGCACGCATAGCGTTTTGGGCAGGTCCCAGATCCTAGTTTTCCCCGGAATACGACCCACCAAATTGTTTAACCACCCGGTACCCATTCACTGCTGGGTGAACAAAGGCGTACAATTAAGGATTGGCACCTAGTCAACCCTACTGCACTCATTTTAATGGGTGGCTTATAAACTTCAAAGTATCTCATTTTTAACATACGATAGGGACTGTGCTGCAATGTTGTACTGCATATGACAATTAAAATGTAGTAAAATACAGTGGTGCATCGATTAAGGAATTTAATCTGTTCCGGCACCGAGTTCGTCACGAGAAACGCTCGTCTTGCGAAACAACAAAACTGTCGTCGGAGGCGTCCGAGGCCCAGCGGACGCATCTGCCTTCAAAATCTCACCATGGATAGTTTTAGACATATTGATGAAGGTTGCAAGATCAAATAGAGTAAAATTCTAAAATTAAATTTCTTTTATGCAATTCCTCAGTTATTATTGCCCCGCAAAAAAAAAAAAAGACAAATCCCTATACTGTATGTGTATTTGTAGTTTTTTTTTTTTTTTTTTTTTTTTTTTTTTTTTTTTTTTTTTTTTTTTTTGAGCAGTTTGTAATTGAAGCAATAGTAGTGTGGGTTATAATGTTTGGAGTTTTTCCCTTGACATTTTCTACTAATCATTTACTTTTAAATACTTTAATATTGCAAAAGATTTACACAATAAAAGAAAGAACTAAAAGTATTTAAAAGCGTCTTATTATTTTTTCCTCAGACGACATCACTATGACTGCCGATGGGGTGGACACCTACCACATAGTAAAGGCTGCCAAGAGATACAAGTGAGTTGGACTTTCAAACAGCAGAGTAGATAATTTAAATTGTTTGAAGATAATTCCATTTAATGTGTTATTCTTGTTATTTCTGAAATAATTAATGATATGGTCTTGAAAAAATCATGTTACTTAAAACCTACAGGGAATGCAGGAGGACAGAGGGAGTCAGTACAACTGATTTGGTTGGAAGGATGTTATTAATGACCAGACAACACCAGCAGGTAAGGTACTATGCATTTATATGTGAAGGTTTAGGGCAATTAGTCATCCATCATTACCGCACATTTTGTTACAGGGTCTGCATTAAGGAAAGAGATTTTGTTTATGATGGAAACAATATGGTTTGCAAGTATACGTGTACAGGTATAAATTATAACACAATAATTAAGGTGTTTGCTAAAATTATTTTAAGTATGAAGATGTTTACTAAAATTTGCTTATGTTTGATAAAATCTAAACATAGGAAGGAAAGAGGGTAGCATTACTAGTACAAGATAGTGTAAAATATTTGTAAGCTAGTTGTAATAAGGGTAGGTAGAAGCATGTGTACATTGCAGGTGCATTTGCCAGCAAGCAGTATGAGAGGCTTAAATGAATTAACAAGTAATGTAGCTAGGTTAACAAAATAACATGTAATTTGGTAAAAAACAAAAGAAATTTGACTGTGACCACAACTTGGTAGCTTAATGACAGGCAAAAGAATCAAAATAATCCTAAATTCAAAATTCATATACTGTATAAGAAATGTACTGGGAAAAATGGCAAATTAAAATGGCCGAGGCAAATGAGGATTCCTCGGAAAGGTGCCACTGAATAATGGCATCACGACAAGATCTCCAGACAAGATAGGTGAATGAGCATGGGTGGGGGGAATGTAACGAGGGAGAGTCCAGGGATTTAAGGTTATGCTCTACTGCTGGCCAGTAGCCTGTATAGTGGGAGGCTAGACATCCATTCGTGTATGGAGGGTGGGTAGTTCTGCCAGCCACACTTTCCGTGGTAGAACTTCAGGAGGTTGCATATCGGTGCATAACTACTAAGCAATGGGACCATTGTCACATATACAGATGAAGTGCATACAGGCATGGTGCTGGAGGCTTTTCTTAACTGCAAGGTATGTTTGCTGTGATATGTTGAAGGGCATGCACATTGGTTGTGCAGAGGTCTGGGGTTATGGCAGGGGAGAGTTCATCCTGTATTGACATGTGGTCCTAATATACAGTAGCTGCTAGAGGGTTGCAGAGGGTCAAAGTACGACAGTTTTACGATGTTCCTAGCACAAAGCTGTTGTAGGTTTCCATGTGATATTGATAGCAAAGTGTTTTGTTGGCTTCAACCTAGAGACTCCTTTAAAAATGTAATTCAACAAGGATCCTGTTGCAATAACTGGTGGCTATAGTCCCTGGATGTGTTGGGCAAGGTTGGGTTTGTGTCCAGAAGTAAGGGTTGCATCGACAACATGGCATGATGGGGGTAGCATCTTCCAGGGAAGTAGTGTGCCATGGTTCCCCTGAAAACATTACAGTAAATTGTAAGGTGATAAGTGCAATGATTGTGTAGTGGAAGTGGGGAAAACAGAAGTAGAGGATGAAACAAACTTCCAAATATGCTTAATGTTTACTCTTAAGCAATTAGAAACCTCTCCAATTACCGGGCACACTAAACTTTGGAATTATGACAAGTGTCTAATATTCAACACACACATTCTAGCACAATGCAATTTGGCTAAAGTGACACGGTGCACAAACTGAACCTTTGCTATAGATGTCGGTAAAAATGAAAGTACAGTATCGAAGAATGGTAGAAGACAGTACAGTTGTTGGTATTTACTGTAGAAACAGTATACTGTAGATGTAATGAAATGTATAAGGAACAGTGCAGAAGCATTTAAATTAATTTACAAACCATAATAGACTAAGGAAAACTATAAAGGACACTGCTAATGGGTATTGATTCCCCCCCCCCCCCAGGGATATTTCTGCACGGGTCCTAAGCCTCTGGCTGGCCCACTAAGTGTTTCATGTTTCTGTTTTACTTGCGTGGAGAATGAGTATTTATGACTTGTATGTCGCCATGAATGTAAACACATTAAAACAAATTGGGTGCTAAAATGCCAGTGCCTTGAGGGAAAACCAGTGAATTACATAACTAAGCTGACAGGAGATATCCTATACATGGCAGATGCCCAAATTTGTCAGTATTCAGCAGAAAATAGCAGAGATTATGCTTTTTTAAAAGTCTGTGTTAAATTGCAGGTTGGAGAGGCAGAGTACCTTGTGGAACGCGGCCATTCAGATAGCTTGGGAACTGATGCAAGTGCTCGTTCACCATGGACAGGTGTGACACAGTTCCTACCGACAACACAAAAAATAATTCAGTTTTCCTCGGGGCTTACACCAAAGGTAAGTAACGTTAACTATATACCAGTACAGTACCTAATTTTCATTATAGCTATATAGCCAGTGTTGTATAAATTATATTTTTAAAATGGCAATAATTATGGTGATTAAGGCCAGCCATACAATTATACTTATTTTGATAGCTTGTACAGTATATATATTTTAATGATTGGAAATGTAACATACAGTATTTTTCCCTTATAGCCAGGTGACAAGATTGTGTATGTAGCCGGAGCATTTGATCTGTTTCACGTTGGACATCTGGACTTCTTAGAAAAAGCTAGACAGGAAGGAGACTTCTTGATTGTGGGGCTCCATACAGATCCAGTCGTTAATCGGTACAAAGGGGCCAATTATCCTATTATGAATCTGCATGAGCGTGTTCTTTCTGTTTTGGCTTGCAAAGTAAGTAATTTATAAGTTTTATCTAGTTATTAGCTTCACATGATTGGTTACTAGATGATTAAAACTTGCATAGCATTGTGATGCACAAACTAATTTTCCAAACTAAAGTATGGAAAAGCAGATATATTTGAAGACCAGACCACACACTAGAAATTGAAGGAACGACGACGTTTCGGTCCGTCCTGGACCATTCTCAAGTCGATTGACAATCGACTTGAGAATGGTCCAGGACGGACCGAAACGTCGTCGTTCCTTCAATTTCTAGTGTGTGGTCTGGTCAACATACTTCAGCCACGTTATTGTGACTCATCGCCTGCAGATATATTTGAAGTTTAGAAATAGGTATTGAAGTGTGAGGTGTCATTGTCCTTGATCTTTGCGTGTGGGTAATTCTAAATTAATTAACATTCCAAGCTAAAGTAATTAAAGTACGGTATTATGTTAAAAGACTTCTTGCCTGAAAAATACTGTAAAAATACTTGGAATAATTTATTAAACTAGAGCATGTGAATAAAATTTTGGTAATGAGTTAATGCTTGAGAGATTAAAATGAATACTTTAAACCTTATATGGTAAATTTGTAATAGGTACAGTTGCATAAATTATTAAGATAGAGCATTTACACAGAACAATAGTGAAGTTGTGCATTTTGTTCTTCCCGTTAAAATAGACAAAATGCAATGGTGTAAGTGATGTATGTATGAGGAAGTTTTGAAAGGGATTTGGGACACCTTTTCCCAAGAAGTAAATACAGTGAAAGGTCTGGCCCACAGATGATTCCAGCCTCACCCTGTAGCTTTATAAACACCACCCCACGACAAAAATGAATTTCAAGGGCCCCATGTATGAGCTGAAGTAGAATACAGCTCTTGACTAACAGTATTTATAAAAGGACATACTGGTTATTCTATTATTAATGAATCTTTGAATACAAAATCAGTAAACCAGGTTTTTTTTTTTTTTTGTAATCTGGCTAATTTAACTATTAATATTTTAGATTATTATATAATATTATTGATACAGTACTTGATATACTTATATTGTCATATACTGCAATTTACACTTTATGCTAACAGATGTTTACCATTTCAGTATGTGAGTGAAGTTGTGATCGGTGCCCCATATTCAGTGACGTGTGATTTGATGGACCAATTGAAAGTAGACTTGGTATGTCATGGCATGTCGGAGATTATGCCAGATGCTGACGGGTCAGACCCATATATCGAGCCCAAGAACAGGAACAAATTTAAATTGCTGGATTCTGGAAATGACATGACTACCCAGAGGATTGTTGAGAGGATCATTGAACACAGGTGAGACATGTATAGCACTATTAAACATGGGTGAGATGTGTACAGCGCTATTGAACATGGGTGAGACATGTATAGCACTCTTGAAAATGGGTAAGACATGTATAGTGCTATTGAACATTGGTGAGACGCATATAGCACTATTGAACACATGCGAGACATAAACGAACGTCGTTTACCTTATCTTGGCTCTCGTTTTTCTACACTTTCTTTCCAGGACCATGCGAAAAAATATGGTGGGTGCTTCGCCACTACTTTTAACCCTTTCTATGTGAATTATGGTAGTCCTTCCCTAATCAGGATTGTTGACAAATTTACAAATTGTTTCTTGTGAACTCGTATAAAAATGGTGGCATGCTCTGGGGAAAAAAGCACAACATTCTAGGTGCTATATAGTTTGGCTGTGGTATGATCAGAATGGGAGATTTTTCCCAATAGTTACTGATCTCTCCCGAAAATACAAAATTAGAAACAAAGTACTGTACAGTTTCTAGAATTTTTTTGTTATTCTTATAAACTTAATGAAAAAAACATGTGTAAATTACATTAAATTGACAAAGAAAAATCAAATTACTGTACTTTAGGTTTGGCAGCAAAAATAACTAGGTGCCTTACTACTACTGTCCAACACACACTCCATAGTGGTACATTTGCAACAATGACTCAAAAACAATCTGAAGAAAGTAACTGGCCGACCGGGAGCCGGTCGGTTGAGCGGACAGCACACTGGACTTGTGATCCTGTGGTCCCGGGTGCCGGCAAGAAACAATGGGCAGAGTTTCTTTCACCCTATGCCCCCTGTTACCTAGCAGTAAAATAGGTACCTGGATGTTAGTCAGCTGTCACGGGCTGCTTCCTGGGGGTGGAGGCCTGGTCGAGGACTGGGCCGCGGGGACACTAAAGCCCCGAAATAATCTCTAAGATAACCTCATGATAACTATTTTTAGAAGTACTGTACAGTATATGAAATGACTGAAATGTATATATATATTTTTAATTAGATACGTTAAGCTTCAGTAAATTCATAAATTTCAAAATAAAGCATTGTTACTTTCTTCAGTTTGTCATCTTATCGTACCAGCAAGCTGCCTTGTACTCCATACCAAGCAACTTGTCGTACAGTGCACATTTTATCCATGACTCCTTATGCACGACAATAGAGACTTAAACACAGTTTTCTTATTTAAACTTATTTCGATAAGCCCAGTGAGTCATAGGGCCCAGCAGGTACACTGTATTTAATTGGAGATGAATTATTCTAATTAGATCAGCATTGGAGATTGGTTAATTAAGCATTGTATCTGCTGGGTAATGGGGCTAATGGAAAAAGTTCAGTGTTTTTTTTTTTATTTCTAGTATCTTGGAATATGGAAGCAAGGCTATTTCAGTGATTCCCATCCAGTTTTCCTTAACACAAGCATCTATCAAACTCCAGGATGCTATACTAATAAATCTCTTGCTTCTCATTCATGAGTCATTGTATATTTTTGGTTTTAGGAAAAAAAAAATAATTTTAAAATTGAAATTAAATGTGATGCTTTTGTTTAAATTATTAGGCTATTGGCTTGCAATACAAATATTCAAGTTATTAAATAAATTGTAACAAAAATTAAGACATGTTGGTCTGAGGTTTACAGTGTTTTACAGGTTGGAGTATGAAGTGCGAAACAAGAAAAAGGAGAAAAAGGAGAAGGCTGCATTTGCTGCGTACATGAAGGCGAAGGCCGAGGGTCGTGTTGACATCAGTCCAATAAAGGGAGATTGACCAAGTGTCCCAAATATTAAAAGTGGCTCGTGCAGTATAGTGTGATCTTCATATTTATTGCAAATATGTTTTATAAAATTTATAAAAAATAATTTTTAACAATCACACATGGTGGGCCTTTTTATTATAAAGAGTTGTTCCATTATCAGGTTTTGGTAACCCAGGTAAATTCATGCTATTACTGTACTGGGGTCTATTCATTGTGAAATAGAGGATTTTATGTAAGACACTCGCTAATATTACAACTGGTTATAGGAGCCGATTTCATTTGGCTAAGACCACTAGTACAGTTTAACCAAATACAATACAGTATAACGAACCTCAAAATTTTGCGTAAAGGATACACAGTATATTATTTGTAAAGCAAGTACACAAATTATATAAAACATGAGTCACTATATAGTATAAATATTGTAAATGGTTTTCAGTAAGTATTTGCACTTCATTCTAGAAGAGAATGAACACAAGAATAAAGCAGGTCACTGGCCATGTGATCGTATGCTCCGACAGCATGGTGCTGTCATTGGGGAGCTGTCTGGATATAGCTTGCACCCAGACTATAAAGCTAATGACGATTCTATTGCTTGTCATATCATTTTGGAAATAAATATTTCGTTCTTGCCTGAAGAAAATTACAAAAGTTATTCTAGTCACCTGAGCAATAAATAAGCCGTTAAACTTTTGGTCATCATGAAACCTGGAAAAGGTGGCTATCTTGGGCTTGGGGTCTTTATTGTTGTTATTATTATTATAAATGATTGAAGCTCTAAATTTGATAGTAACATTTGAGGGTATATAGAGAGTAATGTGTGAAGTTTATGATCATTCCTGTTGTAAGTTATGTAGTGTGTGAGAAGTTTGACTCTAGGAGTGGTTCAATGCTCTGACATGAGGATAGGTAGTTGCAAATATATAGTAATTCTTCCTATACACTATCATATTCAGTGAATACATAGATAAGATATAAATTATGGTTAGTTTTCTGTTGAACTTGAAGTTTGAAGTACTGTATGTGAAGCTAGTCAGAATGCAATGCAGTGGTTCATTTACTATGAAGATAATTTTTTTGGTGACCCAGAGTTTTTTTTCAAGCTTTGCAGAGGCTAAAAAATTAATACCTTTTATAGTATATTGTTATTTAAAGAAAAAAATATAGTACAGTATTATGTAACCTATAATTTTAACCACTAAACTTGAACACGTTTGATGTTATATTTTATGCTGTTATGGTTTACTCTGCTTCCAGGGTTGATCATCTGTAACCTTACACTCAATAGATTTGCACACAGAGCGCAACCACTGGGATGAACTGCGACTCTTGCCATAACAATTGGATTCCAAAAATGTCTATAGTTAATTTTTTGCGTCTTAGATAAGTAGAAAAAAAAAGAGTACAGCTTCTTGTCAGTCATAATGTATGTGTTGAGGGAGAGGGAGGGAAGTTGTGTGGATGAACTTTTAATATATTACATCACAGAAGAATGATAGTTGTGTACATAGTGACCATTGCATATGTTGGTGATGAAAGTATTTTTAATTACTTTAACTAATTTTTACTTTTCTCACGGCTGCTCAGTCAGTTTGTATATGCAGCTTTTTACTTTAGACCTTTTCATTGTCAGTCTTATGGAAGTAATTTCCCCACATCTCTTATTTACATTTAGTTTTAATCACTAAACACAATCTAAATTGCTGTTGGGGTTTAATGGTTTTGAAAGTAAAATTTGAACATTCCTCAAATATTTTTATTGGTAACTCTGAAATTAGTATGCAAGTTTAAAAATTGGGGCACCAGTTGTGTGTCCATTTCCTCTGAAGATTTAACAGGCAAGTGTCTTGATCTTCACATATGAAAACACATTTTAAATATTAAGAAAATTATTAATTAGTTAAAACACTAAATATCATTAATATTGTACAGTATATTCATATAGCCTTTTAGATATGATAACATTTAAACTGTAACATTTAAAGTTGCAAAAAATGTCTGTAAATAAACCAATTTTAAAAATTTCCTAATTAAGCTTACTTGTTTGACTTGGTATCCTTAGAAGTGTTAGCTAATTACTCGAGTGGTAATATGCAAGTGTCAGATTAGCCCAAGTTGTCTTGTCAAAGCTTTGGTCTACACAGCCAAATCATGAGCTCACTTGATTAGACTTACAGTACCTTACTTGCAAAGTGAAAATTTAGTTCAATTTCCAGAATTGTAAATAAATGGTGTCCTTGTTTAGCAAGCAAGGGATCCCTAAGTGACAGATGAATTAATGAAATTAAATTATTTATGAAGGTTATGTATGGTATAAATAGTAATATCCCATCTTAAATGGTCACTTGTTTAGTTTCACTTTATAAACACTGAAATAACTAAGGAATAACTTGCTTCAGAATATTTTAAAATATGAATGTTACCTAATGTACATACCTCTTGAAGAAACATTTTTTTTTGTGCAAGTTTCTTGATGGCTGATGAACAAAGAAGATTAATAATGACAGCATTTAGGCACTTTGGAAGATTTTCAGGGCTTCCTGTATATATTGACTTTCACAATATTTGTCCTTTAACTGATTTTTGCAACATGTGGGTGTGCAGCTTGACTATTACGTACATCAAGGTCTGTGTATTTGAACATTGTCTGTCAATTCAGTGTGTTTTTGCTTTATAAGCTGTTGTACAAAATAACTTCAAAGTGCCGAATATAGAGGTAAATGTTGATTTATTTCAAATGTGATACAAATTTTTTAGAAATTGTTAGAAATTCAGACATATTTAAATCCATACCAGGTACACACAGACATTTTGTAACACTTGAGGGATCTATTATTTTTGTTTGTTTTTGTTTTTTGTAAAGGTGGGAGGTAACCCAGTAAGAGGAAAAAACCATTGATACAAAGATTTACTATACTGCTTTTAATAATTGGTATATAATTTTGCAAATTTGTTATATTAATCATCCTGTGCATAACTTTCATATTAAAATTTAGTTGCCATTTTGAGATACAATACAATAGTGCAATAGTGTGGTAAAATTATGGATATTTTTTATGAATATTTAATAATATATTACTAGTTTGTAATGTTCTGCATTGTTCCTGTAAAGACCTCAAATTTTCTTCTAAGGTGTTTTAACCCTTAGACATCAGTTATCGTCAGTTGTTGATTCACGGTTATCATATGAAGATTTACAAAATTATTGTCTGGGTTTTACATGTATGATGCAAATTATGGACATGTGGGTCTATGTGTATGTAATGGAGTTTAGCTTGACCCATGATAAAAATCCTGCTACCATTTCATGGTACAAATGCAGTTATCGTCATGAATGTTACTAGAGGAATGTGGTCGTTGTCATATGACAATTTAAACAATTATTGTCTGGGTTTTACATGTATAATGCAAACATGGATATAATAGCTCTGTGGATATAAATAAATGAAAAACGAGCGATGAAACAATCGGTGAAACATCGGAGGATAAAACGTGAAGCGTCAACAAAAGTCAAGCACCAGACGTTGACAAGTGCCAGGCACAGCCTTCAGAGTGCCTCCACCCAGTCAAACTATAAATATTCACTTATTTTTGTGTTTTTCTTAAATTTTGCATATAGATTAATAATTCAATACCGAAAAATAAGTTTTTTGATTTTTTTTTTTTTTCTGCATAAGCCGGTATGACCATAGCCACTAAGGGCTACTTTGGCATTCCCGGGGTATTGACCATTTTCTTATCCAAAGTGATCCGTTTATACACATTTGTGATACTATTTATATCCTTATAACATTGATATATATGTAACAAAAAGTTACATATATAAAATTACATCAAAAAGTTTTGAGTAGTTGCAAGATGTTTATTAAACAATGTTGCAAGTGTTAGGCATCACTTGGTTCATACACCTCAAACATAAAACCATATTGTACTGACATAATTCAGTTATTTAAATCCTTTTATAATTACCCGAATACACTACCTTTTTTCTACAGCAATATAGATCAGTTGTGCTGTTGTAAATGTGCACAATTAATTGACCTACTGTGTAATGTTGTAGAAAAAGGAAATCATTATAATATGTTCAGGTCATTTTTGAAAGTGACTAATATACACACCAAGGAATGGAGAGTACAACCCTCCAGCTTTTCAAAAAATGTTCACTATTATTTCACATTGACAAAAAGATGGATTTCCGTACATTTTAATTTGTATGCATAAATTTGTGCTAAGTCCATCATATGATAAGAAAGTGTCATTTTTATGGAAAATATTAAGATCGAGAGATTTGAAGGAAAAACAGCATTCATACTGCAACAAGAAGTCATTGTGTCAATTTTGGAAACAAGTGTTGTATGACTAAAATTTATTGAAAAAAATTATTTTTATATATAAAGGTGCGGTAATATTTATTCTTGGTATAAAAAGTGTATTATTTGATTAATTTATATTATGTATACCAGTATTGTACTGTGTGCTTTAAATGTACATTTATAGGGCATTATGTCATTTTATTTGCAATAAATGTTTACATAATTCTTCATTTTTACAGGTAGGTTTTGGCATTCATTTTGTTTGATATAAATGTCTGCAAATCATTCTTCCATCTTATAGTAACATCAGAAATGTAAATATTTGTGGCATATAAATTTTATATGGAGTAAGATTTTTTCTAGTAAAGTAATTTTTGGATTTTAGAGGGAACCAGCATGTTCATAGACACCTGCTGCTTTTATCTCTTTTTGACCATTTTTTCACTGACAGTTTGGCCTCTTACACTCCCTTATGGAATTATGTACAATATCACGAAGAGTTCCAGGACCAAATGTCGCTACAATATATTCATGGAGAAATCAAAAACAAAATTAATGAACATGAGTTGTTGTTGGTGTGCGTTACAGCTGACGTGATGTGGCAGTATGGTGGTACCCGGTGCTACTGCTGTAAGCTCCAGCTGTTTGTGAGGTGTGGTATGTGGAACATGGTACATCCCAACTCTCAAATAATGGTTAGTGATATGATTTGATACTTGGGATTGTATGATATGCACACACCCTCAAAACAACCAGGTACACTTGGCAGTGGTTGCATTAATACACCATTAGAATGTGACTTTTTTTTTTTTTTAAATATAGTTTGTTTTAATATTTGAATTTTGTTGTGTATGAATTCATTAGCACCATAATTGTAGTGTAGAATATACCTTTACTAATTAGAAATGTGGATTTATACTCTACTATCTTCCTAGATTTTGTAGTGCACTTATTGTAATCTTAGTGAAATTGAAAGAGGCACATATTTGATCTTGCCACAAGAATGTACAGCATTTATTGATAAAGCTGTTAAGCTTGTTGGCATACTCTAGAAAAAACAGATTGTAATGCAGCATTCAGTGATGCATTATTTATAATATTGGTACCTGATCTATGTGATTAATTTGAGATGCCTTCGGTAAAATTTCTCACATCCTTGAGTTATTTCTTTATTCATCTGAACATCTCTCCTCTCTCCCTTCGTCTCATGTTTAACCATTTTACTGTACATACCGAATGGAAAAAAAGCACACACGTTTTGGAGCTGGACTGGTCGAGAGATTTTCATTTCTTGTTTAACACTTTGGCGTACCCCGCGCGCCACCCCTCAACTGTGCGATATGGGACCCAGGGTGTCATGGGAGCGTGCGTAAATTCTGAAAAGTGTATACTCTCTTCAACTTTGTCACCTTAATTCTCGTCCTACGAGATTAAATTTGGTATCATTGTGTTCGCAATAGAATTCTCTACAGCACTAAATGCATATAAACTCCAAAAGCCCGGGTAATTACCCGCAGCAAACAAAGTGCGAACGAGTTACCCAGGAGCGCGCAAACGCGATAAAATGTTTTCACTATTTTCACCTCAATTTTTGTCCTAGGTCTTTCATTTTGGTCTCAATGGGTTCGCAATAGAATTCTCTAGAGGAACATTAGCATATAAAATAAAAAACCTGGTCACGCTCCAACCGCCGACGAGTTGAAGACGGGCCACGCGTTAGCCGCGAGTGAGCGCTCAGATGCCTTCCAGCTACACTCCCAATTCCCTCCCTTTTCAAGCCTTTCTTTCGCAATTTTCTTCCTGGAAGGGCCTTGTTCATGATCACTATCCATCGTGGAGTAAGCATAGATAGTTTCTAAAGCCGCAGTAAGAAATATAGCCACGGAAAATAGCCGAAATGTTCACACGTTTGAGATGCGAGGGGAGGCGACATTGATCACAACAGTGGAGCGAAAACAATGGGCCCACGGCGTGTGCCAAGCCACCTGAGGGCCACGAGGCTCAACAAAGAAAATGGGAAGACATCGGCGCACATTTTAAAACCAGTCCCAAAAAAATCGGATAAAAACCTGATTTTTGGCGATTATTTAAAGTGAATGCTGCGTCATCCCCAGTATTACCGACAGTAAACGGATGACGCAATGCTGCGTCATGCCCGGGCGAAAGTGTTAACATTTAATTGTAATATTGAACACTACTACAGTATATAGAGCTGGCCCCATGTTTTTATTAGTGCATTTATCCTATATTCCAAGTGGTTTGATAATTCTGCATTACTAATTCATTTAAAAATGTGTACAGTATTTGTCTTTGGGTTGTCTTTATGTGAATTTGCTGGCATATGTAGTCACTAGTGTAACTTGGGCATTTCCACAGGGTAATGTGTTACAATTTTGTCATCTAACAACTGTCATGATGGTTTATATAATTATTACTCAAAAACATTAAATGTATATTTGTATGTAACAAATCCTGCATAACTTGTTTGTGTACTTACCAGTACAGTACACAGTGTTGTGTTGGCCACACAACGTAAGTGGTATCTTTTTATACCATTCCTCTACCTAAGAAATGCCCTTTTGATTAAAACTATTTAGATAAAAGTAGGATTGTGAAGTATTAATCACTTCTCAGCTGTGCAGTTATCATTGTAGGACACAGGTGAGAATAGGTAATCATTGTATATAGGAAGGTAAAAAATGTTGACTTGCTTTGAGTGCT